GGTTTCTGTAAGAAATAGCAGGAGCTGTGGCAGCGGCGAAAGGAAGCCACTGAGGCGCTTGGAACCGAAAAGTCCCGGTGCTCCTGGCTACCTCGCACCGCGGTGCCCGGCCGGCCGTCAGTACCATGGACAGCAGCGCTGTCCCCACGAACGCCAGCAATTGCACTGATGCCTTGGCGCACTCAAGTTGCTCCCCAGCACCCAGCCCCGGTTCCTGGGTCAACTTGTCCCACTTAGATGGCAACCTGTCCGACCCATGCGGTCCGAACCGCACCGACCGGGGCGGGAGAGACAGCCTGTGCCCTCCGACCGGCAGTCCCTCCATGATCACGGCCATCACCATCATGGCCCTCTACTCCATCGTGTGCGTGGTGGGGCTCTTCGGAAACTTCCTGGTCATGTATGTGATTGTCAGGTAAGGAAAGCACCAGGGCTCCGAGCGGAGGGTTCAGCGGCTCAAGGGAGTCCAAAGAGACACCTAACTCCCAAGGCTCACTGTTGGGCGGGAGGATGAAAGAGGGGAGGTAAACTGGGGGAACTCTGGAGGCTACCACGGACAGTGATTGCTATTTCTGTGAGAAAATCTACTTTTCTATTTTTTTCAATTGATAAAGAAGTAATCCAAAATTTCAGGAGCAGAGAAGTTGCTTTGGTTAAAGCTACAAAGGTCTAGGGGTTGGGGGGAAGTTATAGGGTAGACTTAGAGCTCTTCCTTATACTGAGCAAAGAGGGCTCTTGGCAGAGTCCTACACTCAGTCCCTCTGCAGGAGCTATGGAAAGAGTAAGTTGTGAATAATGGGAGAGAAATTCTAGTTAGCTTTCCCAAATTTGGTTGGGGCTGTGGTGTGTGTGGGGGGGAGGGGGGAGAAGTCTTCTCAGTTGTTTTGAGATGGACCTTGGCAACTTTCCTACTCCTGCTGGTTTAGTACTTCCCTGTACTACAACCCCACCCTTTCTTCTCCCCTACCATAGCAGCCCTTACCCATATCTTCCTTTCATCCTGAGGCAACACTAGGTAGAGGAAGTTTCCCTAGCGTCTCTCCATGGTAGTTTTCCTCCTGTTATAACAAACATGACAGCTGTGTTGCCTAGACCAGTTTGCCATTGGTAGCTTCAGATCGCCTAAGTCACAAACTGCATCTGGAATGGGTAGGTTGGTTCAGGAAAACTGCAGGACATGGCTGTATTTCAATGCCTCCACAAGTTGGAGCTAACTAGGAGTGACCAAAAGCATCATAATTCCACATTAGAGACTGCAGAAACGCTTATACAGGAAGTTTTGATGGGTGCTCTAAACAAAGTGTTCTTATCAAGTAAAATTAATTCAAAAGAGTTGTGGTCCACTTTCTGTTTACCCAGATGTTCCAGGTATATTTGGCAGAGTGTGGAAGCTCTCAATATTGATTGAGATTGGTATTGATTGTGTTGCTGTTGATATGTATATTCAAATATATATTCAAATACTATATGTGAATGTGAAATGCCATATATCTGTTTTTGTTAAAGAATACAAAGATTTTAAGACTTTAAAATAGCTCCTAAATCGAGGGTTTTTTCTTTTTTAACCAGGGGTATGTGTATGTAGGTAACAAGGCATTTTCATATTTAGTTACAATATTTGTTTCACCTATTCAGCAAGTATTGCAGGTTTCAGTGGAGCTCTTAAATCATTTAACAATTGCTCTCTCCAGTATCGTTTCATTACCAAGTTGCTGCAAATTGCTTATAAGCAATTCTTTCTACTCATCTGTCTGATTTCTTTAATTAATGATTTTCAAAGAGTAAAGCTAATTTCCCTGATCTTTTGATGAGGAATAAGATAAGTATCGTCTGTAAGAAAAGAGCACCATCTACTGAGAGGAAGGCTAACAACAGAAGGAAAAATGTAAGAAGATCAATGGAATAATTTATTTTTTAAAACATTTACTTTAAGTAATTCAATACAATGATTCACATTAAAGATTAAAAGCCAAGTTTCATTCTGCAGTTATGACAATAAAAGTTATAATTAAAGGCCTACTTTGTGAAGAGAAAATATGTTTCTCATTTTTTCTAAAAGAAATTCATAAAATCATACACTAATCAAGCTAGAAGGGACTCTAGAGATTATCTATGCTAAGTAAATAAACTGAGGCACAGAAAATGTAAATGATTTTCTCCAAAAACAGATATTTCATTAATTCAGTGCCACTGAATCTCTCCTAGCTAACATAATTTTATGTTTATTGTGCTGGCAAATCATGATTTGAGTTAATTTGACTATTAGGTTGACAGAGTGGGTTGATACAGCAATAATAACTTGGGAATAACAAATTATCCCCAAATTCTGTATGAAATCCTGAAGGAAAAAAAGCATGAAACAAAAATTACCAAAGCATCTAGGAATCCTGCCATCTGAAACATAATATTTTATTCCTTTTTATTGCTTCTTGGTATTTTCCTTCCTCATTTTTTCTACACTTTAGTTTATGCTTTGCAATACAGAGAGGGCCAATAGAGTGGCAACTGGCTGTGAAATAAGCAGATTGGTCTTATTATTCCAGTGTAGATGTTGTTGGTTGGGTGAGTTGGTTTTAAAGGCATTACCTCTGGCCTCTTGTTGACTTGGAGAAACATGGTGACAGTGCATCTTACTGAGAACATGATATTATGCTTTATTCTTGGTACTGAAAGTTCTTACAAAATGCAGTACTATTTGAAAGGTCATCCCAAACACCCACCTGTGGCAGGGTGGGTTTTAATTGCAGGGTTAGGTAACCCTCTTGGAATGTGACTGTGAAACAGAAAAATGGGCAAGTTAGTGACAGATGAAGTGACAGGGAAGGCATCTGGGGATTGAACCAAGTATATCTATTTAGCCGAGAATATTTAACTGACTGTCTCCAGGCTGCAGTGTTTAAACTACAAAATGATCAGTTCAGGGATGTATTGTCCTTGCTAATAGGCTGGATATAATGTTGCATCTATTAAGCATTGAGGAGAAGTGCTCACTTCCTTCTCTATTTCAAATTCAACAAATACTATTGAATGATCAAGTAGCTGCAGTTTTCTGATTATATTAAGGTAATATTTATTAAGATGTTTTAGTCCATTGAGTGAATCATGAGGCTCAGATGACTATGGCAACAATAACAACAAAAATAACTGCTAACGCAGATGCTGTGATTAACTCTTTGGCTCTGTTTGTACCACCATCATCATCATCCCTTCATCAACAACATTATTAAGTAGTATAACTTAAATGAGATTCTTAAATAGGGCTGCTCTAAGGAATACAAGGGAGGAAAGAAGAAACTGTAATATGTTCTAAAGGTTTTACATCCAAATGTTAAGTCATAAAAATGTTATCAGTAACCATCACCTGAAAGCTTTTT